GGTGCATGAACGAATTCACTCTGGAGAAAAACCATATCGTTGCCAAGTATGTTCTAGAGCTTTTAATCGTAAGAGCCATCTTACGGTGCATGAACGAAGTCACTCTGGAGAAAAACCTTATCGTTGCCAAGTGTGTTCTAGAGCCTTTAGCGATAAGAGAAATCTAATGTTGCATCAACGAATTCACTCTGGAGAAAAACCATACCATTGCCACGTATGTTCTAAAGGTTTTTATCATAAGATCAGTCTTACGGTGCATGAACGAATTCACACTGGAGAGAGACCATATCAGTGCCATGTGTGTCCACGAGCTTTTTCATGTAAGAGTAACCTCACGAGGCATCAGCGTATCCATGTTGATGAAAGACCGTATCGCTGCCCAGTTTGCTCCCAAACTTTTGCCCAAAATGATGACCTAACAACGCATGTACACAGTGAGCACAGTCATCGTTGTTTCATGTGTTCACAAACATTTCAGCGAGTCAGCGACTTGGAGAACCACGTACAAATTCGGCATCCCTTCGACTGCCGGATATGCCGGAAAATGATCGATACGTCATCTTATTTGATGATGCACAACCTGTACATCCACAATAAGTATTGATCATGTGAAGAAATGCTACAAAAAACAGTTTGGTATACTTGGGATTGCTGTACTGAATCTGGACTTGAAATTGTTGTAATGTATCAAGTGCTGCTGTGGAAATGTGGCTGAATAGATATTGCAGTGTTTTATCAGAATGGTATTGTAGTGCTGGACAATATATTTTGATTAATATCGAATCCAATTGTATGAAATGTTTATTGAAACATCAGAAAAATGTAACAACTATTCGAATAAAGAATTGAAATAGTGCAACTAATGTTTAGATAACTTTTCATTAATTTTTGTATCGTATATCATGTTATAGTTATCTAAAACATTGGTTTAGCTATTGTATGACCATTTCAAACCGTTGTAAGCTTATAACACAACCTGGTCCTGAGTTAACTTAGATAGAAGTAAAAATTTCTGAAATTATTAATTAAAAACGGTATTATTATATTACTATTCTTACTATTATTATTTCTGTTGATTTAGAGACGAAAATCAAAACTTTGATGCCAATTGAGTAATTATGTTATCGTACCGAGGGTATCATATCGAGTTACTTGAAGATGATGCAATCTTTATAAATCATTTTTTGAATAAAATAATTTCAAAGTTATAGCTATCGATTTTACAAACGTTTTAGACTAGTTTTTTTATTATAAATTTACGCACACAACATTTGAGGTGTACATTTGATCAACAATGATTAATGGATACAACTGATAATTTAAAGCTGGGATTACTCGATACTTACCAAAAAATACCTTGTTAAAAAAATAAAAATGTAAATTCTATGGGAAAGAATAGATTCCAGCAATGGGAGCAATGTGAATGTATTTGGCTCCTCTCGTTTTACCTATCCTACGCACTAGTGGGCGCATAAGCGAATGCTTACGTATAAGGTCACTGTGGTGTAAAATTGAATTTCAGTTTCGTGGCATATTTCTCCCATCCACGGCATGTCGCTGCAGCCAACCACATTATTTCTACTCACTCTGTCGGGGTAAACGTATTAAACGTGAGTATAGAACGTAAACTCTGCATTGCATTGTTTTCGCATCCATCGGCATGCATTTCTTATCAATCACCTCCACTTTTCATAACAAGTTTTCATTGATTCTCAATAGATTTGATACAATTTCAGTCATGGATTGCAGATTCACCATCGTCTAGTGTTATGCAGTCCTAATAAGAAATGCCGCATGTTTATTTTACATTTTTTTTAACCACACTCGATGCATCGTATGCGAAATCTTGCGTATATTTTTACAGCTCGAGATTTCCATTACACGGCTTCGGTTGCAACCGGCATATGGTTAAAAGATAAGAAAACATGTATTTCAAGTTCTCTAATCATTACGGAGACACCTTTTTGCTATCGAATTTTCCAATATAGCCACGATTTCGTCAAGTCATTAGTAAGTATGAATTATTATCGTCTTACGTAAATATAATACTAGTAAAAGCGTTGTCATTATAATTGTACAGATCGACAACCGTCAAATTGTTCAATAGTTACTCGTCCAAAGATAATGATACACATGGTGTTGAAATTTCCTTGAAACTCGACGTTAACGACGAGACACCTCGGTAGATAATTTAATTTCAAAGAAAGGCTTCGAACGGCGTATACGAAGTACTTTCAGAATGTCAACGTCGAGCCATTGGGATCCGTAAAAAAAAAAAAAAAAAAAAAAAAAAAAACCTGAAATATTGATTNAACTGGAGTTTTCGGGTACTACATTGAAAGAAAAATATAGTAAAAAATTATAGAGAAAATCCAGCAGAAATTACCACTTCGCACAGTAAATCGGATGCAAGCTGGCGAAAAAGGAAAAAATTATTATTTTTCACACTCTGGAGAAAAACCATATCGTTGCCAAGTATGTTCTAAAGGTTTTAATCATAAGAGCAGTCTTACGGTGCATGAACGAACTCATATAGCAAAAAAAAAAAAAAAAAAAAAAAAAAAAAAAAAAAAAAAAAAAAAAAAAAAAAACTCTTTTATACACCAAAGTTTACTTGTAAAAGTATATTGTTATCGCAGGTATACATTTAAAATAAGGTTTATCTTCAAACACACGATTTTTTCATTTTTTACTCATAATGGTAGACAAAATTGCCATCAATCTGGTGCATAACGACTTTGAATGAAGAATCGTTAACTTTTAGCGAGTCAGTTACAATGTTCTTATTTGGTACTGAAAATTGGCGGTATTATAGATTTGGTACTCCAGAATTAAGAATCGAGGTATTTTTGATGTCTATATACCAAACCACCACAAGGAGATTCAAGGAACAGCATCATTTTCCAACTGTTGTACTTAGTGTAACGTTAAATTCAGCTAAATGCAATGAACTAATGACTGGCAACTCAGTTTTTGTTGTTACATTAAATACTAATAGACTTTCAACAGATTCTATGGTTACATAGGTAATATATTTGCTTCACATTTGTTACAAGTAAATAATCGAAAGAGACATAAAAAACTGTCATTTTCTAGAAATATTTTGTTTCTATAATAGCAAATGGATAACTAGAGGATGTAAACAATAAACCTCTGAAAATTTGAAAAATTATACATCACGGTTACCTAATATCAATTTTAAAAAAAGGTTTATTGAAACACGCTCGACAAATTTTGTATTTCTTAATCTACTCGTTATCAATCATCGCCATTATGATACGTACACGTTCCGATGAAATCACTCCAGCCATTAGAAGTGTTAGTTCACTGAATCGCGCTGCTACGTTTGGATAAAAAAATGCATGCAGAGAGTATACGAGTACGGTGCGACGATTTTTTCATCCATCTATCAGAATAGAAAGAATATATGTAAAATCTTAGTACCCGAGTCAACGAATGGAAGGAAATTATTGAGAGTAACGTACGTGAAATACTGTTGACGTATACGTATTTTACCAAAAAACGCTTATACTTTCCGACATTAGAATTTTCAAGGTTAGTTTCTTACCACGCACTTTTCAAAACCATTATTCCAAAGCTGTATAAACTTTAATTTTAATTCCTCTGTAACAAAATTTTTTTTTTAAGTGCTTTCTTTTTTATACTTTGAATTTTATTACTAATAGGTTTTTATTATGATTACTAATGAAATATTAAAATATCAACTATCGACACAACTTAATTCTTTATGATTGTAAAAACTAATGATTGTAGAAGGATATTAATAATTACTTGTGCATATTTTTCGATGTTGAAATTAAGTAAAATTCCACATCTATACATAACAATACCTATTTTTCTGCTAACAGATGAACATAACAGCTTTTTGATCCAAAAAAAAGAAAAAAATAACATGGAAGCCAGTTCTCAATTTGAACACATGACATCTGATTTTCCATCACATTCCTAGAACAAATCACCTGCAAATATGCTCCAAAGTAGCAGTCGAAATTTTAGTAACGAGGACAACAGGGGCTGTCACCATTGCGAGATATGCAAAAACATCTTCGGTACTTCCGGTCGCCTGGCACAGCACAAGCACATTCATGAGAGGCCCTACCAATGCTCCAGATGTGGCAAAACATTTTCTCGTAAAAACTGTCTTGTGGTGCACAACCGCACCCACACTGGAGAAAAACCATATCGTTGCCAAGTGTGTTCTAGAGCCTTCAGCGATAAGAGGAATCTTACGGTGCATGAACGAATTGGAAACGTGGTTGAATAGATATTGCAGTGTTTTATCAGAATGGTATTGTAGTGCTGGACAATATATTTTGATTAATATCAAATCCAATTGTATGAAATGTTTATTGAAACATCAGAAAAATGTAACAACTATTCGAATAAAGAATTGTAATATTGCAACTAATGTTTAGATAACTTTTCATTAATTTTTGTATCGTATATCATGTTATAGTTATCTAAAACATTGGTTTAGCTATTGTATGACCATTTCAAACCGTTGTAAGCTTATAACACAACCTGGTCCTGAGTTAACTTAGATAGAAGTAAAAATTTCTGAAATTATTAATTAAAAACGGTATTATTATATTACTATTCTTACTATTATTATTTCTGTTGATTTAGAGACGAAAATCAAAACTTTGATGCCAATTGAGTAATTATGTTATCGTACCGAGGGTATCATATCGAGTTACTTGAAGATGATGCAATCTTTATAAATCATTTTTTGAATAAAATAATTTCAAAGTTATAGCTATCGATTTTACAAACGTTTTAGACTAGTTTTTTTATTATAAATTTACGCACACAACATTTGAGGTGTACATTTGATCAACAATGATTAATGGATACAACTGATAATTTAAAGCTGGGATTACTCGATACTTACCAAAAAATACCTTGTTAAAAAAATAAAAATGTAAATTCTATGGGAAAGAATAGATTCCAGCAATGGGAGCAATGTGAATGTATTTGGCTCCTCTCGTTTTACCTATCCTACGCACTAGTGGGCGCATAAGCGAATGCTTACGTATAAGGTCACTGTGGTGTAAAATTGAATTTCAGTTTCGTGGCATATTTCTCCCATCCACGGCATGTCGCTGCAGCCAACCACATTATTTCTACTCACTCTGTCGGGGTAAACGTATTAAACGTGAGTATAGAACGTAAACTCTGCATTGCATTGTTTTCGCATCCATCGGCATGCATTTCTTATCAATCACCTCCACTTTTCATAACAAGTTTTCATTGATTCTCAATAGATTTGATACAATTTCAGTCATGGATTGCAGATTCACCATCGTCTAGTGTTATGCAGTCCTAATAAGAAATGCCGCATGTTTATTTTACATTTTTTTTAACCACACTCGATGCATCGTATGCGAAATCTTGCGTATATTTTTACAGCTCGAGATTTCCATTACACGGCTTCGGTTGCAACCGGCATATGGTTAAAAGATAAGAAAACATGTATTTCAAGTTCTCTAATCATTACGGAGACACCTTTTTGCTATCGAATTTTCCAATATAGCCACGATTTCGTCAAGTCATTAGTAAGTATGAATTATTATCGTCTTACGTAAATATAATACTAGTAAAAGCGTTGTCATTATAATTGTACAGATCGACAACCGTCAAATTGTTCAATAGTTACTCGTCCAAAGATAATGATACACATGGTGTTGAAATTTCCTTGAAACTCGACGTTAACGACGAGACACCTCGGTAGATAATTTAATTTCAAAGAAAGGCTTCGAACGGCGTATACGAAGTACTTTCAGAATGTCAACGTCGAGCCATTGGGATCCGTAAAAAAAAAAAAAAAAAAAAAAAAAAAAAAAAAAAAAAA